CCTGGGCCGTGGGGTGTGACAGCAGGATGACAGAGACGATGCCACCCGAAACACAATGTGCCAGTCGGTACTAAGCAGTCGAACCTTTGCTTTGCCAAGACTCCCCAGGCCCCTCGTCCCCCACCCCACCCCACCCCCAACCCACCTCATCCTGTGTTCCTGCTCATGTCTCACTTAGCACAGACGGCACCATTGGAAAACGGGAAAAGATATCCCTCTCTGAGTGGACGAACTATAAGGTTCTTCCCCCAGCCTGACTGCAGCCCCAGATGGGGGAGCAGGGGGTAGGGGCTGGTGGCAGCTCACCTGTGGCTGCCACCAGATGCCACTAGGATTTCTGGTGCTGGAAACCGCTGGAGGGAGGGGGTGGGGACCTGGAGGGGCCAGGTGAGTTTCATTTGGTACTGGGAGTGGGGTCCACTGGTTTGAAGGCCCCTGGCCGATAGAGTGGGCAGACCTGTGTCCAGGGACCAGCTCGAATCAGCTGCGGTCCCCCGAGCCCCTGCTGTCCTCAGGCACAATGCCCATGTTCCCGTGCAGGTTTTGGTGGGAGAACAAGGGTGTGTTCAGCACGAGGCAGAAGCAGGCCCTGGCCAAGATCTCCCTGCCCCGCATCATCTGCGACAACACAGGCATCACCACCGTGTCCAAGAACAACATCTTCATGTCCAACACATTCCCGCGGGACTTTGTTAACTGCAGTAGCCTCCCCGAGTTGGATTTGGCCGCCTGGAGGGACGCGGCCTAGGGGCTGGGTAAGGGGGTGCAGTGGGTGGGGGGAGCTGGCTGGGCTGGACCAAGGTCAATCCCATTGGCCACGAGCAGACATGCGTGACGCACAAGTTGTGTGTGTGTGAGGTGTACAAATGGGCATTTCTCATGGCGTGCTGTGAATGTGGTAGTGCGGCTGTGTGTGCAGGGTGGACCAAGGGTCTGCTTGCTGTTCCGGTGACTCTCGTGTGTGGCAGGCAGCGGAGTGGGTTGTGAAGGGCCAGGTTGTGAACCGCCTGGGTCCCAGTCCTGGCCCTTTCGTGTATTAGCTGTGCGACGCCGGCCGAATCGGTGGTGGTGGTGGTGGTGCTAGGTCCCGCCGAGTTTGTCCCACCCAAGCGACCCAGCGTACGTCAGAAGGAAACATGCCTGCCGGGTCCTGTGACAGCCTCCCAGCTGTCCTTCAGCCACAATCAGCCGTGCTCACTAAGCTCGGGTTTCCCTCTTGTCAATCCCCGCGGTCAGGGCTCCGCGGCAGGCCGGTGTGCAGCCCGGGTTTTTCTCTGAGGAGTCCCTGGGGGCGCAGGGGGTTAGCGCATTTGGCTGCTAACTGCAAGGCTGGTGTTCTGAGTCCACCCAGAGGTACCTTGGAAGAAAGGCCCGATGATCTGTTCTGGGGAACCAGCCTTGGAACCCCATGAAGTCGTTCTAACAGGACTCGCACGCGGGCCCCCCAGTTGGGATGGACTCTGTGGCAGCTGGTTCATTTCTCACTCACGGAGCCCACACTATGTGCCAGGCCCTGTGCTAGGCACAGGAACCGCACGAGAAAGATGTCATTTGTGCCCTCCTGGGGCTTCCTTCTTGACCAGGCTCCGCTACGAGCGCTAACAAGGTACCCCTAGGAATGACCCACTAGCAGCTAGCTGTCTGAGTGGCGGTGGAGTTCAGGGTCCAGGAGAGCTGGGCTCAGTCCATGGCCCTCCCTTTCTCCCTTACCCTGCTTTCTTGCTTGTCCACAGGAGCTTGCCTGCCAGGAGCCGGCCCACCAGCCCTCTGTGCCGTTCTTTGTACCGGACGTTAATGACAATAAAGCACTGTTTCCAGGGGCTCTGTGGTGTCGTGTTGGGGCTGGAGGCTCAGGAGGAAGCTCCCTCGGAACTCTGGCCCTGGAGCCAGGGTGGTCCGTGCCTCATGGCCCTGGGGCTGCCCCACAGGTGGAGGGCAGTTGGTCTCTAGCGTGACTAAGCAGACCCTCAGCCTCACTGACCACCACACCACCCTGAAGTGCAGGAACTGTGGTCGCTGAGCCCCCAGTTCCATTCACCGCTCTGCCCTGTGCCCCATGCTGGCCGCTGTCCTGCTCCCACCATACTCACAGTCCAGTGGGAGGAAGCAGAGGGGTGAGCAGGCAGGGCACCTCGGGGGCCTGCATCCCTGCAGCCTGACCCGTGGCTCAGGGCCTCCTACTAGCTCTGGCCTCACCTGGCACGGTCCCCAGAGCAGGGACGGCAATGGCTGGGCCCCGGGAAGGACCCAACGCTGAGGGGGCGCAGGATTGTAATTTTCCAAAATCGTCTTGCCTGGAGTTTGAGGCTGAGCCTGAGCCCCCGGACTAGTGGCTATCCCATTTCCTCATGTCCAGGGGGGGACAGCTGCTGTCGGGGGCCTGAAGGGGTGTGAGATGGGGGTGGGGGTGGGAATGGACCCACGGAGGTGAGAACCAGGACAAACATGACCCACCCGCATTCCCCTGATGATGAGGAGGAGGGGGGCCTCAGAGAGAGGAGGGGACCACGGAGAAGAGGAGGTGGGAGTCAGGGTCACAGCCCAAGTCTGCTGGCTCCTAGACTCTTCCCACAAGATGGCTACGTGTCCCCCACCCTCGCCAGTCAGGGGACCTTGAGCCTCTCTGGCTGGGCTTACCCAGAGGGCCATTTTAAAGGAATGAACCTTAACACACGGAATGTTCTCGAGCTTCCTCTTCAGAAAGGAGCCCGGTGATGCAGCAGTTAAATGCTCAGCTGGGGCCGAGCTACTCTGTCTAGAGCAGCGGTTCTCAACCTGTGGGTCGTGACCCCTTTGGGGGTCAAACCACCCTTTCACAGGGGTCGCCCTGTTCATCACAGTAGCAAAATGACAGTGATGACGTAGCAATGAAAAAAATGTTATGGTTGGGGGTCACCACCACATTAGGAATTGGATGAAAGGGTGGCGGCACGAGGAAGGTTGGTCATTCTGTAGGGTCATTCTGAGCCAGAATTGGCTCGAGGGCAACGGGTTTCATTTAGATGTTTTTGGCCCCTTCCCAGGCCTCGGAGGCTCCTGGAGGGCCCAGCAGGGAAGGATGGTTCTGGAAGAGAAACTCAGTTTGGCTGTGATCCAGGCGAGGCGTCCCTTCTTGTGTATCTCCTGACACCACCGCTCGTAATTCCAGCCACCCGCCTCCAGTACTCCACCGCCACCGCCTCTTTACCTAATGCCCCCTTAGGTCCTCGCCTTCCTTGAGAGCTCTTTGAAACCCTGCCAGACCATGCCCCCTCACCTGGAGACCCCCTGCCCACACATCGGAGCGGTCTGACCCACCTGGACTATAAACACCTATGGGCTTTCTTGATGCTGACTCCAAAGCCTAGCTTCAGGGAGGGGACAATGCCATGTGCAGGAGCTTGAGTCAATCAGCACGTGTTTATTGAGCACTTACTTGTGCCGAGCACCAGGCTGGAGGTCATTGCGGACACACAGAAGTAGGCAGAAGGCCTCAAAGAGGTTATAATCTGATGGGAGAGGACAGGGGACAGAGGCCACAGCTTCAGCCAAGGCTTGCTCAGGGGACAGGAGGAGCCACGCCTGGCAAGACTGGAAGGGCAGCTCTGAGGGCCCAAGTCTTTCTAGAAAGGAGGTTCCACAGGCAGATATGCT